CCCCCAGCCCCCCTGCTCCCCCTACACACTACACAGCACCTATCTGGAGTGATCGCTCACTTCTACCTCTCCCACTCTCAGGCTCCAATTTCTTCCCTCAACCAGATGGCCCCTCTCTCTGTCTCCCCATCACCTTGCTTCAGGGTCTGACCCCTAATTCCATTTTTCCATTTGTCCTTTCCCAGGCCACCAGCCTCCCCCCAGGGGGTACTGCCTGCAATAGGCTCGCCTTCAGGCACCGACTAGGGGCCAGTCACTTAATACTGACCACTCCCCTCAAGCCCCCAGAGGCTCGTCCCCCGCCCCCGGCCTGGGCCACAGCAGTCCCTACATCTTTAACAAACCTCCACGTGCGTGTTAACGGTGGTGACAGCATTTCCTTGTCTCTCTGCTCCCGCCCCCGGAGGCGCTGCCCATTGGTCGCTGGGTTCCTCTGTTCTCGCTCTAATTGGCCTCGCTTCGGATAACTCCGACCAATGGCCTCTCAGCGCCTGTCTCCCTCCTCCAACCCTGGGCTCCCATTGGCTCCAAGGACTTAAACTGGGCTAGGTGATTGACAAATTATTCCCTCTCCGGGGTAGACTCCCAGACTGAGAAAGTGGTTCCGAACCCAACGGAACCCGGGGCCGGACGACTCCGGGTCACGTGGGCGACGGCCCCATGACGTGCGGGCTGCGAGGCGTCACCGTGACGTTCGGGCGACCGGCCAAGTGGCCCCACTACCTTCGTTACCTGTGCGGCCGCGGTGCAATCATGGACCTGGGACCGATGCGCAAGAGTTACCGCGGGGACCGAGAGGTGCTGTTGCCGGGCTGGGGTCTCCGCAGCGGCGGGGCAACAGGGGTCCCCGAGTCATTTGCAGAGAAGAGGGGGAGTGGGAGGAACCCCACGGGGTTTATGGGGTCACCCCTTGGGGCAAGGGGGCTTGGGGGGTCATCCCCGTGGGAGAAGAGGGTTCAAAACAACCTACTGGGAAGAGGTTCTGGGGAAACGGGAACGAAGGTGGGCTCAGGAGGAAGCTTGTGGTGGTGGATAAGGGCACGGACTCTGGACCCTGCCTGAGCTGGAATCCTGCTGTTCAGCGGGTACATCACCGTAGGCAGTTTACTTAACCTCTCTGGGCCTCAGTTTCCTCACTTGTGAAGCGATAGGCACAGATGTTTGTAAAGTGCTTAGAACAGTGATAATCGGTATATAAATGTTTGATAAATAAGTAAAACATGCTCCTAACTCCTTACTACCTTCAATCTCTTCACTACCACTTGGAGTTCTTTTCCTTTCCCCTCTTCAGGAGAGGAATCAAGAGAACTGTTTTGTAATTGGGGCCCAGAGCCTCCGGTTGCGTGTGAGCATTTCCAGGAAAATTCTTGTTAAACATGCAGTTTTTTATTAAACCTTAGACCTAATGACTGAGAATTTACAAGGGGGAGCCCAGAATCTGTCTTTTTTTAAGGCTCCCCAAGTGATAGGTTTGACACCCATGACGTGAAACTCATTCATTCATCACTAGTTCTGGGACCCAGCAAATTATGCCACCCTTTTATGCCCATGTCCTCACCTGTAATATGGGGCTAATAGAACCTATTTCCCAGGTACTGTTTTTTGTTATGAGTTCATTGTTATGAGGACTAAACGAGTTAATATTTGAAACATACCTAGAACAGTATTACAGACACAGTAAGCACTATATGTGTTTATTTAATAACATTAAACTCCCTTCCCAGGCATTTGAGGAAGCTCATCTGACCTCCCTGGACCCCATGAAGCAGTTTGCTGCCTGGTTTGAAGAGGCTGTTCAGTGTCCTGACATAGGGGAAGCCAATGCCATGTGTCTGGCTACCTGCACCAGGTAGGCATAGCTGTGGGCCCTTCTGTGGGTGGGTACAGATGAAGTAGGAAACTTAGAAAGCTCTCAATTTGATGGATGACAGCTTTATGGTTCTAGCTCTGTTATTAACATGCTGTGTGGTCTCAGGCAAGTTACTTGTCCTCTCTGGGCCTCGGTGTCCTTACCTATAAACCAAAGATCAGACTTCACTCAATTCCATTTCAGTGGTGAAATGCGGTGCCTCATTCATCTGTGTGCTTGATGCACTCCCCCATACCCTCTTGCCCCCCTTATTCCCCCATCTACCTTATTCCCAGCTGCCCTTTACATTGCAAAAATGCATCATGACTTTTCCAACAACCCAATATATCTCCAGGGACCTCTCCATGAGGCTCTCTCCCTCTCTTTAAACCTAGTACAGTGCTCGACTGTACCATTCATTTGATAATCAATCATATACCCCTTGAGACATTACTTTTAAAAAAAAAGATTTTATTGGGAAATTGGGGGAGAGAAACAGTGCTGGGGAATCAGGGGAAGGGGAACAAACAAGTTGCTGTCTTTTTGTTCTTCAGTCTAGTTGTGGAGGACGTTGCTTCATGTTGGCCCATGTTGGTATTATCATTGCGCTCTTCCCGCGTGAAGCAGATTGGTCACCAGCCTCTGGACGGCCGCTCACAGCGGCTCTTGGCAGCTCACGCTGGCTGCCAGCCATACACGGTAGCTTATGGCAGTCCACTGCAGCAGGGGCTGCAGCCTACGCCATCACCAGTGACTCACGGCAACCCAGCTCCAGGTCAAGCTGTTGTTCACCATCTTAGCTGAGAGGGCAGTGTCACTGGCCCTCATGTGGGATCCAAACTGGGGTCCTGCTGCTCAGAGCTGGCGTCCCAAGCCAGCTTTTAACCAATGTGCCACTCGGCCTGCCCAAGACATTTTTTGTATTAGCCTCTTATCCAGTTCTTCTTGTCCCCCCTCACTAAAATGTAAGGGCTTGAAGTCAGGGCTCTTATGCTGTGCCCTAGGTATCCATCCCCCAGAGCCCTGAACAGATGGTCTAATGTAACTACACTTTCTGTGATCCCTAAGCACTGACCCATTGCATTATTCTTGGTTGCTGCCCTTAGAACCTTATTACTTTGCTAGGGCTGCCGTAACAAAATACCACTGATGGGGTAGCTTAAACAACCAAAATTTATTTTTTCACAGTCCTGGAAGCTAGAAGTCCAAGATCAGGGTGCTGTCAGAGTTGATTAGTGAGGCCTCTCTTCATGGCTTGCAGACGGCTACCTTTTTCTGTGTCCTCACATGGCCTTTCCTTTGTGCATCCAGGGAGAGAGTGAGCAAGAGGTATCTGGTGTCTCTTCCTCTCCTTATAGGGACACCAGTCCTTTTGGATTAGAGTTCCACCCTTATGACCCCATTTACCTTACTTCCCTAAAGATCCTATCTCCAAATACATTGGGGTTAGGCCTTCAACACAGAATTTTAGGGGGATGCAGTTCAGCCCCTAACAGAACCCAGACAGTAATGCCATGTTATACCTATACCTCCAGGACAAATCCCTCGTGGCAAGTGGGAAAGGGTGGCCTGAGTGCCCAGACAGTGCAGAATAAAGGGACCCAGCTGTAGGGTTACTCAGACATCCTGTGGGGAGGGGCAGCAGCGAGGACATTGAATGGGGTCTGACCTCAGCACTGCTCTTTGTCCCAGAGATGGGAAGCCCTCTGCCCGCATGGTGCTGCTGAAGGGCTTTGGCAAGGATGGCTTCCGCTTCTTCACTAACTTAGAGAGTCGAAAGGGAAAAGAGCTGGTGAGTAAATCCTTCCCAGTGCTGCGGAGTCCAGCTCTCGCCTCCTTGGTCACCTTCTCATGCCACCCCACCCTAACCCACTTTCGATCTGTGCTCAGCTGTTGCCCTGCCTGCGGGCCTTTGCACTTGCATTCTCTTTGCTGTGAATGAGTGCTCTCTCCAACCATCCCACCTCTGTCATCTGCTTACCTAAGTAACACCTGTCCCTTCGGTCTCAGCCCGTGTTACATCCTCAGAAAAGCCTTCCTCAGCTCCTACACTGAGTCAGCCACTCATGCTGTTTTTGCTGTCATTATAACTTGCAACTTTCCTGCTTGCCATTTTCTCGTTTTCTAACTGTACATTTATTTATGTGATTATGTGGTTAGTGTTTGTGTCCTCTGCTACATGGTAAGCTTTGTGGGGGCAGAGTATATCTCTATTATACCCCCAGGACCTCTCCTGGTGTCAAGCACAGAGTTGGCACTTAATATGTATTCAATTCATAAATTTAAATGAGTAACCCTCCCTGAATCCATGCTAGCCAAACTTGTACTTCTGAGGACTTGCAAATCTGTGGGTTTGAGAAATGGCAAGCCTCACTTTGGAGTCCAACTGGCTTAGGTTTCCAGCATAGCACTGCCACTTGCTGTGTGAACTTGGGCACGTTACTTAACCTCTCTGAGCCTGTCTCCACACCTGTAAAAGTAGGCCTACCTTTGAGGGTTTAAATGAGATATTACATTGAATTCCTCTGCAGTGGGTCTGCACCCTGCAGACTTCCTGCCTTCCCCCTGCATGCTCGAGGCATCCTCCCCACTCTCCTGATGGCTATCAATGGATTCTTTCATTTCTAGGACTCTAATCCGTTTGCTTCTCTTGTCTTCTACTGGGAGCCCCTAAACCGTCAGGTGAGTGAGCATTCCCAGGGTAGCCGTGGGTGGGCTGGGTTCGTAGAGGCCTGAGTTTATAGATGAGCCCAGCAGAGGGCAGACTGAATAAACATCCTGCCTCTCAAATTGCTCTCACTTAGCTGGTCTAGTTGAAGCCAACAGTGGTGGGACAGTGGATAAGGAAACAACAAAGAGGAGTGGTGCCTGTGCTGTGGGGAGAGCAGGTGGCATTGAATGCCATGTAGCCAGGGCCATCCTTGAGCAGGTGCGTGTGGAGGGTTCCGTGAAGAAGCTGCCAGAGGAGGAGGCTGCATGCTACTTCCAGTCCCGCCCCAAGAGCAGCCAGATTGGGGCTGTGGTCAGTCACCAGAGTTCTGTGATCCCCGATCGAGAGGTGAGTGGGGCTCCCTCTTGGTCCCCCAGGTGGCGAGGGCCTGGTCTTATCCCCAGAGGCTGTCTCTCTGGGATGCCAGGGCCTTCTCTCTCCAGTAAAGTGAAAAGGGCGGTCTCCCTGGGGGAATGGGGAAGGGGAACGGAGATATGGGACTCCTGTGTCTGTCTGACTCTCCCGTTGGACTGTGTTCCCGGAGATCGGAGGCCAGCCTGCCTTGCTCACCTGTGTCCCCAGCACCTGACTCAGAGCACATGCTCAGTAAATGGTTATTAAATGAATCACTGACCGGGTCTGGCCCTCCTCTGTCTCCTTCCCCTGGACAGTTCCTGAGAAAGAAAAATGAGGATCTGGAGAAACTCTACCAGGACCAAGAGGTGCCGAAGCCAAAATACTGGTGAGTAATACCTACTAGTCATCTGGAAAGGGACAGCAGGACCCTCGTGTTTACTCGAAGCCACCCTGTCGATGGAATTACAGATGTCATCCCTCATCACATACATCCCATCAATTTCCTTCAGGGGGCCCTGGGATGGCGGTTGTGGCGGGGGTGGTGGCAGTTACATGGCTGAAAAAATGCACAGAGCACTGAAACCTCTGTTTGTCTTTGTAGGGGTGGCTACATTCTATACCCACAGGTGATGGAGTTCTGGCAAGGCCAAACCAACCGCCTGCATGACCGGATCGTCTTTCGTCGGGGCCTCCCTACAGAAGACTCCCCTTTGGGACCTATGACTCACCGTGGGGAGGAAGACTGGCTCTATGAGAGACTTGCGCCCTGACTCCCAGTCTGTTGGAGTCCACCGGAGCTGGAGCTGGGTGTGGAGAGAGCGCATGGGATCCTTCTCAACTCATCCCATTTCCCTCCCCACCCTTATATTAGGGTTCTTCAGAGTTCATCCTCCAGGTTCTGTCAGTTGGCTCTCAATAAGCTGTTGAGTGGACTATAATGGTGGCATGGAGAATCACAAATCACAAATGGGAAATAATTCTGTAATTATTTTCTTGATTTTAACAATAATTTATTAGAATAGCTCCCTCTAGGGGTGGCAGCGGGTATGATTCCCTTTTCTGGTGACACAGGGTGGTTCCCCAGCAACCCGGCCTGTTACCACGTGACTGAGTCCCTGAGCCAATCTAGCCAATCAGTTTTTCTTGCCAGTGATTTCAAATTTGAAATGGAGAGACCCAGAGCATGGGAGTCATTGTAGTCAAGTCATTAATGGCAGCCAAGAAGTAACAGCCCCTGGCTGCTGCTTGGAATTCCCTGAGCAGCCCTGGAGTCCCTCCTTTTCATGTCTGGGCTGTGCAATTCCTCCTCCCGCCTCAAACACCCACTGTCTCAAAAAAAAAAAGAAATTTTTTTTGACATGAACAGAATCAATTTCTGTTGCTCACAAATAAAAGAACCTTAACTAACTCATTAATAAATATTTTTATAGCACTTAGCATACTGAATAGCAGCCTTCTATTCTCTGAAGCACAGCAATGTGGAAAAAGACATTAAATTCATTCTCTGTAGCTCCAAAGGACCCATAGGTGGATATTACACAGAAATAGGTTGCATCTCTGTATGGGGAAAGATTTCAAGCAATCAGGGCTGCCTAAAAGGGAGTGTGGGCTACCTGTTAGGTAGTGAGTGTTCTCTTACTGGAAGTATTCAATCCAGTCAGGAGTTTTGTAGAGGGGATTCATGTGCTGGTACCTACAGGCCAGAGAAATTCTAATCAAGCTTTACTTTCCATGTTTGTGTTAAACAGTGTTTATTTATTTATTTATTTATTTATTTATTTATTTATTTATTTATTTCACTTTCTAGGTACAAAATTAAATTTTTATGGCTACTATGCCTTTCTGACTATTCCCACACCCCCTTCCCCTATTCCCTACCTCTGCCCATGATGGCTTCTACATCAGTGGTTTTCATCCGTGCTGGAATTATCTGGGGAGGCTTAAAAATTGTGATGCCTCGTCCCACCCTTAGAGATGATTTAACCCATCTGAGTGAAGCCTGGGCTTTGGGAAATCTTAAAGCTCCCCAGGAAACCCTGTGCAGCCAAGGTTGAGACCTTGGTCTAGATCTTTGCTACTGATCGTGTCCTAGGCCAACAGTGTTAGCATCACTTGGGAGCCCACCCCAGACCCACTGAATCTCATCCTGCATTTAACAGGACCCTCAGGTGACCAGATGCACTGGCCTAAACTTCTAAACCAACAGCCTCCCACCCTTGTGACTGGATTCTTCAGTAACCGTTGGCTGAGGCCTGTGTTGAACTGTATTTGCTTTCCTTGAGCACACGTCTGGTGACCAAAGACAGCCTGGATGAGTGGCCTACAGGCTGCAGAGAGGAGCCAGGCTGGGTAAATGTTTGCTGTGACTAAGCCAGGATCAGAACTATTATTTGTGCATGTTGACATTGAACTTTCCACTCTAAACTGTGATTCATTCCACTGTGTTGGGTGTGTGCGTCAGTGTCCCTATTATTGACCAGTTCCCCCAAAGGCCACCTTCTTGGTGTTGACCCCCCATTAAGCCTGAGTTCAGGAAGGCACAAAGCTAACCCTGCAACAACCTACAGGAGAGAGTGCTAGGGTACCCTTCCCTACCTTGTCCTGTTTGTGTTACTGGGAGCCATGTGTCCCCCAGCTTTGAGCCTGGTCTCAGCTGTTCCTTTCCTGTTCTCTGTCGGACAGTCACTTTGCCAAGTCTGTAATAAAAATTCATTAGACATGCGTGATGTTAGTGTTCAGTCTGGCTGGTCACCCCGCCCCTGGAAGGAGGGGAGTTGGGGAATTTAAGCGACTATCCCACCTCTCTTCTCTTCTCTTGGGAGGTTGGGTGTCCAGCAGGGGGAGCCTTCTGCCCAGGGTTGGCCCCTTCTGGGCAATGCAGGCCAGTTCTAGCCGGCCCTTCCTGCCTGCCTCCCCCTTCCCCCCATTGGGTAGCGGCCCAGTGAAACTGTGGTCGATAACCCGTAGCCTCTCCCGGCTCCTGCACATATTTGCACTCTCGGTTCCTCCTCCTCCGGCCTCGTGAAAACTTACAGCTGCCAAGGCTCTGAATCCCTGAGCAGCCAGATCTCCCTAGGAAGTCCCCACCCTACCTCCTCCTCACCCATCCACCAATACCCACATTAGCGATATAGGTAGTGTTTCTCTGGAAGATTTCTGCAGGCATCACTTTGGGGCTGTGGAGTAGAGTCTCATGCATGGGGCAGAGGGGCCTGCAGACCCTCTCACCTAAGAGGAGTAATGGTGGCAATGGGGTGCCAGCATTGTCACCCACTAGATCAGCATTAGGCCCAGGGTAGGGTCCCTGCCCCAGGGCCCAGCCTCATCCCTCACCCTGGCCTCAGGGAAGCTCAGGATGGACTAAAGTGGGAGTTCCTACAATCTGGGGCCTCAGGGTACACTCAGCCTCAAAGCCGGTTGGCTTTCCCCCATTGGTCCCAGAGTCTGTGCAGCATCCTCAAATGGTGCTCACTTCCCAGGATCCCAGTGACCAGGCCTTGCCTTCTCTCACCCCAGCTCTGCTTCAGCGGACCGTGACTGTTCCTTTCTTTGTCCTGAGCCTCAGTTGCCCATCCCCCAAGCAGATGAAAATCAAGAGTGGAAGGGGCTGTGTGGCGCGGTGGTCACATGCACAGACCAGCTCTGGCTTCAGTCCCAGCTCAGCCACTGCAAGTGCCTGACCTCGCGGGAGTGACTTAACCTCTCTACGCCTCAGCTAACTCACCTGGAAAATGGGGCTAAGGATAGCCAAAGTCTCTGGGGATGAGAGGCTTAAATGAGGAACCTCAGGGAGTACTTGCCACAGGGCCTGGCCTGTTGTAAACCCTTTGTCAACATCAGCTATTAACAATGGGGAGGGCTGGAGTATGGGGCAAGTCTGCTCCTCCATGGGAGGCTTTATGGACTGGGTAATTGTTGGGACCCTAGAAAGTTCCATGTGATGGGGAGGGATAGGGGGAAAAGAATCGTCCTGCCCTCTCAGGCTCCTCGGCTACCTCATTCATCCTCAGAGCTCCCCCTGGCCTGGGTGAGGCCACCTAACAAAGGCCCCCTTGTAAGGTCTGTTTGTTTTGGTAGTAAATTTCCTGAGCAACGCTCCCTGGGGTGGGGTGGCCCAGCAGCCTGCAGGGAGCTGACCTGGAAGCTGCTGGACCGCATTGTTTAGTTGCCGCCTTCGTCTGTTTCTCCCTGTTCCCACCATGAGCTCCAGAGATTTGGCCAATTTTTTCCAGTTCCCAGCTCCTGGGACTTGAGAAAGATCTGGACCTAACAGCATAGGGAGCATGCTCTCTTCTCTTCCTTAAATGGAAGTTGGGGGCTATGGTGGAGTTCCTTAATAAAGGACAGGGGGAAGGAAACCAATGTTAACTGAGCACCTACCGCGGGTCCACCTGTGGGCCGGTTAATATGGACCAGTCCTTGTGAAATAGGTATTACAACAGCCACTTTTTTAGAAGACAAAACCGAGGTTCAGAGGAGGGTTTTTTGTTTGTTTGTTTGTTTAATGTGCCCCAAATCACCCAGTTACTAAGGGGTGGAATCAGAATTTGAATCCTGATCCCAGACCAAATCACTTTGAGGTCAGTCACCAAAGGTCTGCTCTGTTCTCTTGGGGCCCCAAATAGCCTCTCTGTTGACCAGAACGGATCACTGAGGTGTCACTAGCTCCTTCCTTCGCTCTCTCCATCCCCAGATGCTAAGGGTGGCTTGGTGGTGAAATTAGTGCCCCAGTGACTACATTCTGACACCTGGGGACCCTTCCTGAAGCTTGAAAAGAACAGTTTGAGCACCAAGTCCCACTTTACTTACATGAGGATAAAGGCATGAAAAACAGTCATCTCAATAAATGCAAGACAAGAGGATAGATAGGTTCTCTGCTTTTGCAGCATTGTTTATTACCAAGACAGAAACCTACAATTTTTTTTTTTTTTAAACAAAATTCAAGGCGCCAGGACTCATCTCTGGGGCTGATTCATCTTAAATACAAGTAGGAAAGGAGAAAAGAGAACTGGCTACTCTTAGCTCCTGCTACAGCTTCCCCACCCACTCCCCTAATTTGGACCCATGGGGTCCCTAACCTGGCCTTCCGCAGAATTCCCAGGGAGTGCCAGCGTCCTCCTCCCCCTCCCCCTGCACCCCTGGGGGGAAAAGTTACAGGAAGTTTCTCACGTGTGTTAGGAGGTGAGCTCAAGTTCAGCCCACTCCCCGGCTCCAGGAAACCACCCCCCATCACAGGGCTCGTGGAAAATGAGCTCTCAGAATTTGTCTAGGGAACAGTCATGGGTAGAGAAAGTAGAGGGAGCAGTAATTCAAACTCACCCTTGACCCTGTGCCCTGGGAGGAGGTGAAGTCTGTCAGGCTTCCTCTCTCCATTCCTTGCCTTGCCCACCTCCCTGCTGGCCCTGGCACTGCTTCAAGAAGTGCTGTTCTTCCTGGGTGGGACTTTTCAGTCTTGAACTGGAGTGTCTTTGTATGTGGTGGGGGGAGGGTGGGAGGACCCTGGGATCTCCCAGGCCTTCCAGAAACCTGGGGCCCATAAGTATAAACCTAAAACCAGACACTTCCTGCCAGCAGGCATCATCAAATGCCCCCACTGCTTCAGCTGTGGCCAAAGAGGCCAGCGTGATAAGCTCCTGTCTCAGATCCCTCTGACGGCAGGGAGCAGGGAGGTGCTAGTTATCCTCCTTGGCTCCCTTCACTGTCCTTTGCCCTCCTTGTCATCAAAGAGGTTGGGGTTCTCTGCCAGCGTGGCTCTGACTTTTTTCTTCTCCTTGAAACGGCCTGAATTGGAGACCTTGACATGCTTGCCCTTTGTGCTCTTGTCCACAATCTTTTCCAGGCGAGTGTTAAAGTCACTGTTGGGGACCCCGCCCTCAGGCCTGGGGGGCTCCGAGCTGCCTTCTGTCTGAGCATAGGTGTCAGGGATCTCATATAGCACCTTGGGCGTGGATTTCTTTTTCCGGAGGAAGGTCAGCTTCCACCAACCAACTTCAGTCATGGTGCTCCCTGAGCTGCAAGTGGGGCTTTCTGCAGGAGCAAGGAGGGGAGAGAAAGGGGTCAGTGGGGAGAAACGGGCGTACCTTGGAGCAGCCCTCTCTAGACTCCTTCCTAACCATGGGCTATTACAATAGCCCAGGCCTGAAAGAACTGAAGGTGGGGCTGAGTGAACCCAGGATTGGGGTAAGTGATGTGATATGTTTGGAGAGCATCAGAGGCAAGAGTCTGGGGAAGAACAACCAAGGACACATTGACAAGGAAGCCATTTGAGCCAGGTGGAGGGTTACGGTGGGGACCACGCAGCACTGCCATGCAGCTTGGAGATTCCAGGCCCGCCGGGGCTGCAGGAAAGTGAACAGATTGCCCAGGTCACATAGCATCTAGGCCTTTGACACCCTTCGGGCAACTGGTATCAGAGGAACAGAAACACCCTGTGCATTTTGCTTGGAATTCATTATAGACTTAAATAGGATTGTGATGTTTTGAGTAATTTGGACTTCCCAGTGGTGACCAGCAGGACTAAAGGAGCAGCTGGGCTTGTTCCTGCGGAAGAAGAGCCTCAGGCTGAGAATGGGAAATCCCGGGAACTGTCACGGCCTTGTGATTTCTGGCGAGTTACTTCGCTGGACCTCACTGTCCTCATCCATCCCTTCCAGCCCTAACATTTAGCTCTGACATTAATGCCTGCCTGGAGGCAGACATGCTTGCGAAGTACAACTTGTGATAACGGTAATAATTATTGAGAGACAGCTAGCTCCCTTTCTCCACCCAGCTTCCACGAGGACAGGGGTTTTAAGGGAAACTGAAAATTTGGAAGGAGGTTTGGTGATGCCAAGAAGTACATGCTAGTTATGATTATCCGGCTGGACCCTCCATAAGGATACCCAACAAAGATGGGCGTGGGGGCTGACATCCAGGCTCCTCCACTGACAAGCAATATGCCCTGGATGTGAACTCATCATTTACTAATTTCCACAGAGGTGCTTTCTGAGTTTGTGGAAGTTTTGGGAGATGAAGTTGCCTGGACATTGCCAACAGGTGGAGCATATAAGATGGAAAGAGACAGTAGATCGGTGGAATTAAGATCAATGAAAGAGTAGGCAGAATGGTGAGAAATCAAGGCATCTCTGTGTCTGGAGAGGTTGGTGGTCTGGTCTCAGGACTCCGGGGTGTGAAAGGTCCTGGGGAGGAAGGGCAGTTGGCCACAATACACCAGAAAGCTAGATGGTCAGCCAGCCCAAGTACAGGCAAATATATCACTTCCTTTTAAAAACTGATGGCCTTAACTACCTTGTCTAAAAAGACCAGAGCAAAATATGACAAATGATTAATAATGGTTTTCTTTATGTAAAAGGAATATGAGATGCTTTTTCCCCTTCATTTTTCTGATTTCCAGGTTTTCCATAAAGCGTATAGAGTTTGCTTTATAGAGGAGGAGCATATCAAATTCAGGAAAAAGGAAAGCAGGATGCTGGCCTAGGCTTTGAATGAGTTGATGTGCCTCCATCCATCACCCCTCTTGCTGTTGTTGTCCCCTGTGCCTCCATATACCCACCCCCTTGCCCAGAGCACATGCCCAATGGATTCCTTCCCACCCCTTGGTCCCAGAAGCAGATCCCACATTGCCAGCTCTGTCCCTCTAGCGGAGCTCAAGTAGCAAGAAAAGCCCAGGGAAGATCTTGTGCAGCTCCCACTTAGAGAGTGGAGGGGGTGAGAGTGTTCAGATAAATACTTTCAGGGCACCCTGGAGAGGTGAGTGCACCAAGGGGATATACTAAGAGGTTTGCTTTGGCAGCTTGCCCCACCTGGGCTTAGCACAGCCTTGCACAGAACTCAGTGTTCCAGATGGGTTTCTGGAAGAAGTTGTGGGGAAGCCAGGGAAGGAGGGACGGGGCTTTGCTTAGCCTGGGGGTGACCCAGTCGCCACCAGGTCTAAGGCAAGGTCCACAGTTCCACCACCATCCACCCAGAGCTGCCAAGGAACTTGGGGAGTGAAGGACCCAGCTCCTGAACCATCAGTAACCACCAGAATGCCTAGGTCCATGAGAGGCAGTAGCTTCTGCCTGCGCCAATCAAAATATACCTGTTTTAACGGGTATTTCAAGTTGGCATCTACAGGGAGGGACAGATCACAAGCAACATGTCAGAAAACCGTAAGGAGAGTCAGGAATAGCCCTCGCACTCTGCCTGGGGCCTCCACCACAGCATCCAAGGCATCAGTGCTCTTGTCTCCCGGCCTTGGATTTGGGTCTCTCTAGGATGCTTTTGGCCAGGCCTTGCTGTCGCCCTGTCCAGGAAGACATGCGATCACCAGTGAGCAGGTGTTCACCACTTTAGGCAAGTCTGACCTATGGAAATCCGAATTTGCAGAACAGCTAAATTAGGTCTTTGTTTTACAGAATAACCCAGCTATAAGATTCTTGTACATAAACTTCCCAGCTATCCAAAGTAGCAAAGAGTAAGAAACCTACAACCACACGTCTATGCCTAATCACAGAAGGCCAGAAGGGACTGGTGGTCAGGGTGTAATTGGGATTTCGAGCCGACGCAGCATTTGGTGACGCATGGTGGGCCTTGCAGTCTGCTTATGCAGGGCCCTGAGCTGGCCACACTGAGGGCTGAGCCCTTGCCCTGGGGTCCTACAATCCATGGGATAATAAAAATCTTCCCTGAGGAAACCAGCTACACCGCCACTGTTTGCACAGCTTGGGAATCCACGGAGGGCCTCACGGGACAGGGGCCCCACCACCCCCTGCCTATGGCAGCCAGCATGGTGGCCTGCACATGAACACCCAGGACAGGCCCCACTGCCCCTAACGAGTTCTTCCAGCTGCTCTAAGGGCCTTGCCCAGACCGGGTAGAGACCTTTCTGAGTTGAGCCAAGTTAACCATTGACTGGGGCAAGGTGGAGGAGTGGAGGGGGGTTGAGGGAGTAAGTCAGCTTCTATGTTGTAAGACAAATCCCAGAGCCCCCAGCCCCCAGCCCTCTGCAGGGCCCCTGCAGCACTTCTCCACTCTGGAAAAGGCTGGGGTACCCTGGATAGGAACAGGGAGAGGTTCATACCAAACAGCCAGAAACATCCTCCAGGCTGGGGGGTAGGAGGTGGTAGGCTCCAGTCCAGCAAGAATTAACAGAGAACTGCTCTGGGGGAAGCTTTCCCAGAAGGAACTCTGCTGGGGGCCTGGGCTGTTTCCAAGAAACCAATGGGATGAGTCTGAGTTCTGCCTGTTCACCTATGGACAGGTGGGAGCCCAGCATGTCTGCATTCCCCTTCCCAGCTGAGCTTGACAGCCATGGACGCAGAAGAGGGGGCGCCCTGACTTTGCCTTGATTTCCCCACACGCCCACCCTCTGCCTGTACCTTCAATCCAGACTACTGCAGGCTGGAGGCCGAGACCTTCCCTAGAGAAGGAGCTGAGTGTAGGTGCTGCCTCGGACAGAGGCTGGGGGAGCTGGAGGTGCCGCCAGGGTGCTGTGCCAGGCAAGGCTCAGGCCAGGTGAGCTGGGTAGGAGCAGCTGTGTTGCAGGTGCAAGAGAAACAGGTGCGAGAGCGGGTACCTGCTCTCTGCGCCTCCAGGAGTCAAGGTGAACCTGAAACCCAGCCCCTCCCGGCTAAGTAAACAGAAGCAGAGGCTGGTTCGGGCTGATGAATATTCATCACCCCAGAAACCCAATCCTGGCGCCCCTGTACCCACCCAGAAGCCAAGGTCCTCTAGGGACTGCCTAGCCAGGAGGAGGAAATCCCAAGGGAAGCCTGGGCTGGGGGGAAAAGGGGAGCCTCTCCCCTCAGTTTCCCCTCTCTCGGGTGCCTGGTTGCACTCCAGCTGTAGCCAAGGTCACCCGCACCTGTTTTCATGCCCCAAAGAGGCTCAGACCCCTCTCCAGCACAGACCGTGCCTGGACATTGCCCCGGGCACAACCGGGAAAGGGTTAAGGGCCGCTGTTCCCGTTGGCTGAGAGGGACCGGGTGCACCCAGCTCCTTTGAACTCCAGAGTCGAAACCAGTCCCTGGTTAAACTGGTTGGCAGACCGGTTCCCAGGCTGTCCGCTCCGCCCCAAGTTCAGCGCTCCTCAGGCAGGCGCTGGGTTGGTTGGTGGCTGTGGTTGGTTCCCTCCTGACCTGAAGGGTCCCTCCTCAAAATCTCCCTGGGTGGGTGTGGGAAGGGGCCCAAATTGGACCAGGCTCTCCAGACCAACCACCACCTCAAACATCCTCCTCCCTTCCTCCCTGGCTTAGAGGTGGGCTTCGGGGGCCTTGAAATCACTTGCAAAATCCTATGTGTGGAGGTAGAGGGGCATTTATTTTTCCTGCATACAGGGTCTACTTTTGTGAGACTCTCAAAGAGAATGGTGATGCCTCCCCACCCCCAAAATACCATTTCATTCAACTTCCTCCAAACGTCCAGCCACCCCTTGGATGGGCTTCAATGGGTATTATAAAGTGGGCAAAACCTGGGGTAAGTTCTCAGGGCAGGAGGGGGAAGGGGCCCCAGTGAGGCAGGAAGAGAGGGAAAGGCAAGAAGGCAGAGTGTACATGCATAGGTGGTGACACACTCACTGACCCCTCACTGATCTGCAGCCACACCTCCTCCTGCAAACTTCCATCAGCCAAGGTGATTGCAGCCCTTAGCCAGGGCTGCTCTTACAGATGGCGCCAGACCTTGGAGAAGGTTACCGTGTTTCCCCGAAAATAAGAGCGGGTCTTATATTAATTTTTGCTCCAATAATCTACATTTATTCATGTATGAAAATATACATTTATTCAAACAGTCATGTCTGGCTGATCATCTTAACTGAGGCTTATGTTTGGGGTAGGGCTTATATTACAAGCATCCTGAAAAATCACACTAGGGGTTATTTTCTGGTTAGGTCTTATTTTCCGGAAAACACGGTATTTGCAGCCACCCTTAGGGGGCCTGTTTGTGTTTGCATTTGTTCTCCCCTCAGACGGAAGAGTGGGAAACTGCTGCATGTTGAGTGTCCCTGCAGCTTTCTGTCCCCTTGCTGCCCAGCTTAGATGATCAATTCCCCCCGCCCAGCTACCTTCTTCCATGGACCAAGTGTGTATGTGCCAGGCTCTGAGGGAGTCACTGGGTAGAGGAAAGGTATACAATTCTTCCTATCCCTGGCTTCCACTCCAAGTTACATTTTAAATCCTAACTAACCAACTCTCAAACCTTCCCACCATCTCCAACCCTGCTTCTACTTGGTTCAGCTTCTCGTGGCCTCGTGAATACATATTCCCCTCAATCTCAAACAGGTGCCCTAGGCCTCGGGTGGACAGTCTTTCAAAGGCACCCCATGGCCCCTAGTGGACCCCCCACCCCGCTTAGTCCTCCTAAGATGGGGCCTCTGCAGCCCCATCTCCCAACCCTCCCTGAACATGCACACCAGGCCCTTTCTCTGTCGACCTTCCTGGGCTCAGAGGCTATCCTAGGAGGGTGAGATGAGGAATGCAAGATGTGCTCTTGGCCAGAAATGGCCTCTCCACCCCTCATCCCCTGGGTAAATTAAGACAAACTCCTATTCATCCCTCAAGACTCAAATTAACTATTTGCCTCCTACCTCACCAGGGATTTTCTTGTTCCTACAGAGCTTGTTCCTATGCTTCTATTTAACATGATATATACCACAATTAATTATGTGTGTGTGTGTGTGTGTGTGTGTGTGTGTGTGTGTAGTCATGATCTATTCATATGTTTTCCTCCCTTAAAGAATTTTAGCTCCTTGAGCCAAGAATTATCTATCACTGATACAGACCTGACATATAATAGGTACTTAATGCAAACTTTAAAATACAAATGAGAAACAGAAGCATGTTTTTACCCTAAGATATTCTTAATGTAGCCAGTTGTCTTTTTTCCCCCTCTTCTTGGGGCAGGTAAATGTGAGAGAAAATCCCTTTATTTCACTTCTTGTGGTTACAGCAACTGCAGGCTTGCTGTTAAGTTATCGCCCCGGGGGGGGGGGGTATGTGAATTGAGGATATTATTTTTCAAGGTCACCCTGCCTCTACTGAGAAATGACATAGTTGTCCCAGGAAGGTGCCCACAGCTTTTTAAATCTGTCACTTTCTCTGAAAGCCCAGTCTATTTGAGAGCGGATGTCCCGCCCAGAAGATACCAGAAGAGCCTGAAAACACCCTAGCTCAGGTGTTAGGAAGAGGCTGGAAGGATGGTGGGATGGACATAGCCTGGGGGACAGTAACCAAAAGCCAGGGTACCATTTCCATCTGTGCAGGAAGGGACTTGTGCTGGAGGCACTCTCATTCCTGCCCCTTTGCCGCTCCCCATGACTCTGAAATCCAGGCCTCCCTGATGTCTGGGACCCAGGAGGGCAGATTCTTGTTCTCTCAGGCCCACACTGGAGAAGGAGCCCCAGTGAGAACAGCAGTGTGCAGGATCCAGTGGACGCCCACCTGTGACCTGCCCTTCAGAGAATGCCACCAGGACCACCTGCAGGCTGTGGAAGCCCCAGCCCATCCTCCTGGCAGGAGCCAGCCTGGGAAGTCAGGCCCAACCCCTGGTCTTTGGGAGATTTATTTCTGGGAGGAGCAGGGTTGGGAGGGGAGTTTGAAATAAGGCTATAAACTATTATATGACTATCCCTTTAACAGGTCACCCCCACACAGGCTGCTTTATTGCTTTATAAAACGCTTCACCTTTAAAAGCACCTTCATAAAACTAGGTACAAGTGTGATATCCCACATACAAACATGCAAAGTGCACATTTTCAGAAATGTTCTTCTTGTTGAGTATAGCAAGTAAAATACACTAAGAAAGTGCCAAGGACCTTGGTGCCCCACTGGGGCATACAGATTCTCTCTGGCCCCATAGTTGGTTCCTCTGACTGACCTCTGCCCCGGGGGTAGATCCAGACTCCAGGGATATTTCTGTCCCAAAGCAGAGAGAAGAGAGGAGTTGTCACTCTCTTCAGCACTCCCCCTTGTCGCCAGGAGACTGGAGATCCTAGGGGTGCCCCACCTGGCCGAGGTGACAAGTGGGCAAGGCCAAAGATGGGTGTCTGGTGGCTACACCAGCTGCAGCTGGGAGGTGGGCAGAAGCTGCATTCTGATCTGAGTTGGGTGGAGGGTTGCCATGGGAGAGGGCTTTCCCCTTGTTTTGAGGGGAGGACTCCCCTTCAGGGGAACCTGGGTTGGGGAGTGGGGGTATGAGCAGCCGATATTCACGGGGACTATGTTCCAGGTACTGTTCCAAATGCCCTGCCTGTGTGAACTCTTAGCCCTCATCGACACCCTGAGGTGGGTCCTTTAAGTGGGTGCACCAACTTGCACCCCCATTTGCCATTTTCCCGTTACTCTTTGTATTAGTTTCCTGTGGCTACTGTAACAAATGACTACCAACTTGATGGCTTTAAACAACACAGAAATTTATTCTCTCATAGTTCTGGAAGTCAGAAGTCCAAAGTCAGCTTCGCTGGCCAAGACCAAGGTGGCAGCAGGGCCATGATCCCTCTGCTGGCCCCAGGGACAGTCCGTCCCTTGCGCCCTCCAGTGTTTGGTGGCTGTAGGCATTCCTTGGCTTGTGGCTGCATCACTCCAATCTCTGCCTCCCCCATCCTCCCGTCACCTCCTCTTCAGTGTGTCTAATCTCGTTCTGCCTCTCTCTTATAAGAACACTTGTGATGGCAGTTAGGGCCCATGCAGATGATCTCCTCTTCTCAAGATACGTAATCATACCTGCAAAGCCTCTTTTTCCCAATGAGGTCACATTCACAGGGTCCAGGGAGCTGACGTGGACATCTTGGCAGGGAGCTGTTTTTCGGCCTGCCACACTCTTCATTCTGGCCATCTCTGTATTGTCAGACCCCACTTTGAGGAAGGACTTGCTGCCTTTCTCCAGAGTTGACCTCCAGCTGCCATGTCAGCACCTTCAATATCTGCCTCAGCTGCAGAGACCATCTCAGCTGACAGCCTGCCCTTTGGGGGCAGCCCACATCTGGAGATATAAAGTCCAGCCGTTCAGCCCCATGAAGAACACTCGGAGGGGCAATTTCACCCCCCCCCCNCTCAGCTGACAGCCTGCCCTTTGGGGGCAGCCCACATCTGGAGATATAAAGTCCAGCCGTTCAGCCCCATGAAGAACACTCGGAGGGGCAATTTCCCCCCCCCCCCCCACCAAATTGACTGAAGTTTTGTCAGGACTGCATTATTGTTGGGTTTCTTCCTCTGCCCAGTCCTACTTCTGTCTGTTTCTTCTCACAGGCATTGATCCAATTATAGATCTTGTCACCCCCCCACCCCCAAAGCCCACCTACTTCTGGAGAACACAGCCTGTGAGGAGACATTTTAATTGTTGCCAGTATGATGGAAGTAAAGTGGTAATTTTTGTGTCCTTTATATTTGTATTTCCCTCGTGTACTGGATTAAATAGTATGCTCCGAAATTCATGTCCACCTAGAACCCCAGACTGTGGCCTTATTTGGAAACGGGATTTTTGCAGATGGAATTAAGTTAAGATGAGGTCACGCCAGATCAGAGGGGGCACTTAATCCAAGAACCAGTGTCCTTATAAGAGGAGAGATATGCAGGAGGGAGATGGCCCACATGATGACAGAAGCAGAGATTGGGGTGATACAGCTGCCAGCCGAGGAACCCCAAGGCTTGCCTGCCTCCAACGGGAGCTGGGCGCGAGGCATGGAACAGATTCTCCCTCAGAGCCGCGAGAAGGAATCAACCTTGCTGACACCTTCCTTTCTGACTCTGGCCTCCAGAACTGTGAAAGAATATCTTTCTGATGGTTTGAGACACCCAGTATGTGGTAATTTGTTCCAGCAGCCCTGGTTAACTATGCACCTTGTTACTAGTAAAGTTGAGTATCTTTTCATACAATACATTGGCCATTTGAGTTTACTGTTCTCTGAAAGGATCCTTTTTCAATGTAGAAAACCGTCTCCACTTCCCCATCTGATTGTTGTCTTTGCACTAAAATAATACAAATGCATTTAAGGATTCCCC